CCAAGGTAACAATTCAGTTCATTTTCTAAATTACAGATAGATTAATGTATCATTGAAAAGGATTCATCTGTCATTTATTTTTTGGTGGAGCAAAATACATTGGTATAAGTACTAATATGGCAGAGATGGCATTTGCACATAGTACCAGTAGGATGTTTCTCACCCAGAATGAATTGTGGGACTGATGTGAATATTTAATGCTTCTGCTTTAGAAACTCAGTGTAATGGAAACGCTGAAAATGGTAACTTGTTTTTCCCATTCTGACAAGGGACAGTCCCTTCAAACGAGCGGAATATAAATGATATCAGCTTTACAAAACAGAAATCGAAAATCCTGAGTATATTACACAAACCAGCTCCCTGAGAGCTAACAACAAGAACTTCTGCTAAATACAAGTTTGTCTGCCTGGAACAACCGGGTGATCAGAGCATAACAGTAAAGTACAGCACAACTACTACTCACAACTATTTTTTTAAACATCAAATCCTTCTACTTTTTTCTATTTTATTTTTTTCTAGAGGGAAGCTTAAAGAACACAGATCTGTAAACTCTAAGCCCTAAAGCAAGTAGCAAAACACAAATAACGGCACTGCAGAAGAAGCAGGAAAAAAAGTAGAGCAGACTACGATTTCCACCTTTCCACTGCTGCATTGTCAGCTGTGACTTCTTACAGGAGAATGGATGCAGACAGAGAGACTCTGCAAGGCCACATTGCCCCAAATGAGGAGGGGATCTGATCCTTGCCCACTCTCAAGGTTTTGACATGATTTTACTAGTCTTCCAGTCACGTAAAGTCATTTATAGAGTTCACCACCATTCTTGTATTTTATTTTCATAGAATAATTAAGGTTGGAAAAGACCTCTAAGATCATCAATTCCAACCGTCAACCCATCACCACCATGCCTGCTAAGCGATGTCCTCAAGTGCCACATCTACGTGTTGTCTGAACACCTCCAGGGATGGGGACTCCACCACTGCCCTGGGCAGCCTATTCCAATGCCTGACCAG